AAGACATAGCGGTTGGGAAGAAAAAAAACAGCAGGATTAAAGTGCGAAGAGTTATCCGGGGTATTCCCACCACAAATTTAGCCGAAGGGCGGAGTATCCAGTAAAAGCTGTCGTTGTGTAGGATAACGTCGAGATTCGAAGCACAAGATAATTTGCACTAGCATCACAGCGATATCAGAGCCAGATTTAACAACAGGTCATCACGGTAGAGGTACCGAATAAAGATCAGAAAGTTCCGGATTGATAAGGCCACTCAGAACGCCAGTAGGAACCATTCCCAGAGAGCTAGGGCATCGCGAAACCCGGTTTTATACAGACCTGAGGCCATCTAACCTCACACGCGCGAGCGACGGCCTTTTGACGGTACAGTGGTCCAGCCATCGGGATCTTGGCTCGGGGCGGCCTCAGCTTCGGGAGTGGCAGACGCGGCCTGGGTGGGTTGCTGCCCAGCAGCAGCAGCAGGAGGGTTTCCATTTGCACGTGGGGCTCTGCCATCATAACTGCCTCGAGGGCCACGGGGCGCACCACGTCCTCGAGCCTCCCCACGGCCACGTGGAGCATTGACATAGCCTCCACGCTGTCGTTGCTCTCCCGACGCCGACCGCCAGTTGCCACTCTCCACTGCTCGCGACTTGGGGTTCTGGGCGCCCTCTTTAGGCCTAGACGGCAGCTTCTGGTCTTCGCTAGTTCCGTTCTGAGTATTTTCTGTTGGTGCCTCCTTGGACTCGATGGGAGCCTCGGTTTTCTCTTCGGTCTTTACCTCAGTCGCCTCTGCCTTGGCCGCCGCTTCAGCATCAGCGGCAGCCTTCTCGGCGGCCTCCTTAGCAGCAGCCTCCTTCGCTAAGCGACGTTCTTCCTTAGCCTTTTCATCGGCCTCTTTCTTCTCCTTCAACAGCTGGTCTCGCTTATCAGCAATCTCACGTTCTTTAGCCGCCGTATCAATAGGACGGGCAGCGCCGAACGGGCTTGCCTTCGCATCGCCAGCTAGGCCTGGGGACGTAACATCTGGCGACTCGGAGACAGTTCGCTTCGAAAGCTGGAGTCTGGGGCGACCGCCAGTGGCAAGAGCAGCGGGACCTGGACCAGCCGGTGAAGGTGGTGCTTCACTACCTTCGCGGGATTGTTCAGGGGATTTGACGGGAGCGTCGGGACGCATGCTGCTACGCCATTGGTTATCGAGCTCCGCAGCCGTGGGGGCCCGCTCAGGGCGCTCGGGGCGTTCCGGTCGCTCTCTAAATTCTCTAGGAGGCCGGGAGCCCTCCTGACGTCCTTCGCCCCATGTAGCAGGTGAAGCCTTGCGATCTTGTCGGAAAGATTCTCCGCGACTAGGGTCGCTTCCCCGGGGACGGCTATCCGTGCGCGACATAGAGCGCTCGGGCTGTGGGAGAGGAGACAGAGGGCCTCGTCGCTCCCAGTTTCCAAAGTCTCGCGCCTTTCCATCATCCGCCGGACCTTCACGGAAACTAGGGGCCCGACGCTCACCAAAGTCACCGGGGCGTCGGTTATTGTTGCGAGAAGGATCATCAGCCAAGGGGCCTTTGCGCTCCCAGTTGATCAGGTCCCGAGCCGAATCACCACGATTCTCCCGTTCCTTGGCTATGATAAAGTCAATGTCTGCACCAAATCATGACCCGAATATGCGAAGCAAACTTACGAGGATCCGCGATTCTGACCTTGATGGTCCGCCCCTGAAAGCTAGATCCATCAAGAGTTAATGCTTTTTTGAGACCATCCACAGTAGCGAATTCGGCATAGGCGAATCCTTTAGGACGTTGCTCAATTCGGTCTTCGATGATGCGAACACTAGTGATCTCACAGTCGCTGAAGAAGTCGGTTACACTCTCGCTGGTCGCTTCGTAAGAAAGGTTACCGAGATGTGCCGTATAAGGGGGCTTTGTGGGAAGCTGAGTTGGGAACGAGTCACGGGGAGGGTAGGCTGTTGGTTGTGTTAGCCCAGATGCCAGGAGCTGGAGGGGATATCTACGCACCTCGATCGTTGCTGCTGGAGCCGTAGCCCGAGTAGCCCGAGTAGCCAGCCTTGCGGTCGACAGTAGAGGGGGGCAGCGGCTGGGAGCCTAGGAACGCTTGGTCAGAGACACATCTCGTGGCATATAGAGTTCTGCATAACATACCAACAACCTCCTCGACTTCGTCGGCCCAGGAGCCACCGTACTCTATACATGCCAGTTAGCGATGTGTCGCCCGAGACCGCATCAACGGCGGCGGGGTAGGCCGTGGCGGGCAGTCGAAGGAACTGACTCTCTTCATTCAAGAAGGCCCCGAGGGACATCTTCTGCTGCTGCTCCTTCTTCTTGGGCGCTGTAAGACGTGCACGTGTCAGCATGACGTGCAGGACAGGCGGGTATGGTGCAGCAACAAACCCATGATTGCGGTATTGCGGTATTGCGGTGTTGGCAGGCTATGCGCAATGTGTACAAGGCGTTGGTCGGGAATGCAGGCCGGACGGACTGAGCTGTGTCGGTCAGTCGGGTTGGGGTTGGGTTTCTGTGGTGAGGCGAGTGGTCTCGATGCACAGGAGTGTCGTGAGCTGAGGTCTCGTCGCCAATCTCACGGATCGAGGATGGGTCGATTGGCAGGCGACTGGATCTCGAGGGTTGTCTCCGAGAGGGTTTGGCAAGGGGAGACGCTTGCCTGTTCGGCTAGAAAAATTTAATTGCTAGAGGCAGTGGAGGGCAATTTTGGGTGCTCTGGGCAATTGGGACGTTGGTGGTGGGGTGTGTACGGGTGGCCGCTCGGGCCCTTTCAGGTCTAGTCCAGTGCACAAGTACACAAGGCGATGCGCGCTAATCCGCTAATCACCCGCCGTTGTCCGTTGTAACCGTAAGGTAACTTGTCCGTTTGTCTGTTGCAGTGCATTCAATGCCACCCTGCTTCCTCATATAGCCACGGTTCGATTTAATTTCAGAGAGGCATGTACTTATAATGACCTCTAAGCCACGTATGGCTGCGTCTTGTGTTCCGTTCTTTTTTGGCTTCTCTCTCAGACTCAGGTGGTCTAATGTTTGTTTACGTTTCGATCAACCATTGTAGCTGGACAAGTTGCTTTTGCAGATTCAGGAGAAGTATAGACAAATCTTAAAAAACAAGCCTTGCAAACCGGAAAATCATTCAAAAGCATTACTGTACCGATCATGTGTTTACTATATTATAATATAGTACACTGCTGCACCTAGGCACTACAGTCCTTTAGGTAGGTTTTTATACAGTAACACATTCTAAACTTATTAGGTACTATTTTTCTACATAGTAGAGCACAGCTAGTCCCTCTTTTCCTGCACTTGGACAGATTTAACCTAGCGCCCAAAGCAGGACGAGCTGCTATCTGCAAGTAAGCTCTACCTCATCGCCTATTAAGTACTCATATCATTCATTATCACATACAGGTAATTTCTTGTACTTTTTATTTTTATTTAATAATCGGCCAATAATCAATTATATCTCAGAAACTCAGCTACAGATTACTTATCGCAGAGATCCTGAAGTCCGTCGTAGAAACAATTCCGCGGGTCTGGGCGTCAGATATTTTCCGAGCCTCTTCTGCATGTTTTGGAGACTTAATCCTAGACTGCAGCAATCAGCAATTATCTAGACCCGATCTCCTGTCAAAACTTCTGTATATTCTTCGGTTGGATCAAAGATGGCGCCTTGGTCTGCGTGGTCCCAGTCCAACTCCCAGCCCACCTCTCAACAGCAACAGGAACATCAAGAACCATCACCACCATTATCCCCATTATCCCCACCAGTCACCTCCAAGACAAGCAGTTCTCCCTCAAGCCAAACCCCAACTATACCTCCAACCGAACCCCTAAGGTTCAAAACAAAAGATGCTGTTCATAAAGAAATGCCATCGTCTACTGAACTCTGGCAGATAGGCGCCAAGTCTCTCCAGACTGGTATGGTCACTGGTTGGTATTCATCTCCTATCCATCTTCGCTCTCTTGCTTAACTACTTTGTGTAGGTAGTATCGGCCTACTTGTCGGTGCTGGCTCTGGAATTTTACGCTCTGCGCCGCCCACGTTATTTGCGGTATTCGCTGGTCTTCAATGGTTCGCTTTAGGCTCGAGTTATATGGGTGAGATTGGCACCCCAGTCCCTCAGGGGTAACAGACTAACTCGTGCCAGCATCAAGAGACCTCCTACATCACGCATGGGGAGGTGAGGAAAATATGAGTTCCTCAGACTTGGTCAAAGCAAGTGGAGTGGCTGGTAGTGTATCAGGAATGGTAGGCGGCATGATCCGTAAGCAATGCTCTCCTCCCTAAGCGTTTATTGGAACTGGCCCTCACCTTTCTCAGGTGGCCCTAGAAACATATTACCCGGAATGCTCTTCTTTGGTACCCTCGGAGCTGGGACTTCATATGTGTCCCAACGGACCAGGGGTGATGATTCCAATCGGAAGACGAGCTGGCTCGATTCTAAATGGAGTCCCATGCAGCGATTATCGGACAGAGACTACATGAACAAGATAGAAGAGAAGATTCTCCGACTTGATGCCGAAATCGCTATCATTGATGACAACATTGCGTCTCTAAAATCATCGCAATCATCTGTCGCGTCTACAGAATCGCAACAAAATGATCAAGCTCGCTAGTCATTGCGGAATTGGCCGTCTAGACTGGAATGTTGTCGTCCCTATCCATGAGGCAAAACGGCCTGTCTCTAGGTAGTTCAAAGATTGACTGCCCACTCCTATATAGCAAGTTTCCACTTCCAAGAGTTTTGAGGGTGACGAGTTAAGTTAAATAAAATAGTACGAAGTAGTTAACTCGCATTAAATGCAGTGTGCAAGTACTCAATTATAACCTTAATCCCGAAGCAATACTCGCGAAACTGTTATAGGATGTATCGCGCCTAACATAAGGTTGTTTACCGAACCAGCAACGAAACCATAAAGATTTGAATAAACGCACAAACAACTTAGTATGTATTGTATATCTTAATACATTAAAATAAACGACCACGGAGATATTATGCAAAAAGGTCTCCCTGGGAATCGAACCCAGATTGGCAGGATCAAAACCTGCAGTGATAACCATTACACCAGGAAACCGAGCCATGATGGATCATGTGACCGCTTGTGGTCGGGGAGTCTAGATGTAACTCATATCCAAAAGACTCTGGCATTTCACTCGCATCGGTACGAATCATGATTCAAGTACCAGCCAGCTAGCAACGCATAAGCCAAGCCTACGGGTATATGCGTATGTCTTGCATGAACGCAGGTAGGTAGAATACGTCATTATGAAATTCCCCGCCGATGATGCAATCTCCCTATCCGACTTACTAGAAGACCAAATTGTATTTTTATTACCAACGTCCCGTCTATTCAGTTTCTGCCGCTTAGAGTATGATTGACCTGCTTTCGAAATACCAGTAACGTGGATCACTATCACGCATAGCAATTCGATCACCCAATCAAGCATCATCATCTAGTTATCTGCTAGCAGATCTCATTAGCCAAGATGACGGACTCCCAAGGCGGCCACTCCTCCCATATCGAGCAAGTGCCACTTGACTCGCAACAGTTTGGACAAGCTCAGTAAGTATTCTCTGTTGTATCCATAGTTTACATGTTCCCATTCTCGCCCAAAACGTATAAGTTGTTTGTTATTCTTCATCTTTCTCTACAAGCAGCCTTTAAGTTACCCTTTCCAGAATAATCATGGCTAAACTCTAATCCGTCGTCCAATAGGAATATATTAGACGAGCAGAAGTCCAACTATGGAACTACCACACAATCTGACCTAGGCTCTCAGGCCGAGGCGCAAAAGGAAGCAATCAAAGACCAGATCGACGGCGCTACGGCTCAGGGCCCTAAGAGAGCAGACCAGTCAACTGGCGGACGCGTCCAGGTCGGCGAGACGGGCGATTTACACGATTTAGCTGCGCGGCGTCGGTCTTGACCTTACGGGTCATATGTCTTCTTCTTTTCCTATAAGCGAACTTCAGGTGCATTTATTCAGCCGTCTTGTAATAGGGATGGAGTTTTGCGGTTTCTTTTAATATTATGGTAACGAGACATGATTAGCCAAGGCCCAGGAATATGCGAGGGCCCATGATGAGGTTTGGTGGATAATTTCTTCTGCGTAGTATCATAAGAGGTCAGTACATATTTCAGCGCTTGTGGGACTAAGTAACAAAATCGCACAACACGATATTCATCCTAATTGGTGGTATTGCATGTGCAAAGGTGGACTTCCATTCTATGAATAGCATATACCAAGCCTAAAAACTCCATTGTTCCCGAAGCTCTTCCGTCTCGACTACCACAAAGAATTCAGCACTAGATGGCATACCAAATTGTCGAGTGGCATATTGGACGGCTTTTTGAATTCTGTCTCTTGGCCTTGTCAGTTTAATTACTTGGAGAATACTGAGCCTTCGTATTTTGAACGAAGGCTCTCACTTTCTTTCTTTAAGACAGCGCTATGGTAAATTTCGCGTCGCTACGTCTAAACACGGAAACTACGACGGCAATATTGGTAAGAACGATGTATCTATTGTCTACTTCACCTAAAATTCAAACATTGTGTTCTTTTTCGTACTTCTTCTTTTTCGTACTTCTTCTTTTTCGTACTTCTTCTTTTTCGTACTTCTTCTCTTCCTTCTGAGACCTTGCCACTTCTCCCGATACTTTTTGAAAAAACATTGATCTCCCGCATGATCATATACAAAACATGGGGTATCTATCCGCTCATGCCTGAAGCGTGAGGATCAAATAGCACTACCGAATTCCCATGATTCTTTGCTAGTAGATGGCATCCATTTTCTCATAGCAGAGTGTGGGCTTGGGTAGTATACCAGCCGGACGAGCAAGTATTCAGTATTTCAAATTCCTGTGCTCATATCGCCAAAAGACCTTGTTGTTTCGATAGTCTATTGCCATCATGCCGATTATCCATCACGAGGAGCCTATCCCTTCCGGAGAGTGCTCTCCTTCCAAAGAGCCTGCCCCTTATGAAGAGTCTACTCCTTGTGAAGAGCATACTCCTCGCGAAAGTCCCAATCACTCCGAAAAGCCTAAGCTCTATCGTCTTTATGTGGCGTTATACAACCTTGGGGTAACGTTTGTGAGTACTTTCGGAGTTCGCCGTGGCTTCTCTTGATTGTTACTAACGAGCGTTCCGACACCTAGCATTGGGCTTTTATAATCCGAGGCAGTAAAGAAACGTTTCTTCTAGATGCCGCTATAAGGGACGGTGAACGTAAATATCGAAATCGCGACTAGGTGAACGATTTATTCAAGGATACGACAACTGTTTTGTGCGACGTTATGGACTTGAGAGATGATAATGGAGTCGAGCAGCTGCAGGAGATAGCGGAATCGGCCCCCATATACGACGATGGAGATAAGAGCTTCTGCCGGACGTGGGTAGAAAATGTTCTCCAGAAGGCTGGGGAGGAGGGCTACACCTTACGTGCTCCCATAGGTACTTTACCCATGATATTCTAGCTGCTACTTAAGCTTTATTTGGCATACTAATTATTGGATAGAACAAATCCGCGAAACAGTATTACAACTAGTATCAGACTCCTCGAATAAGAATCCCCTCAAAATTTTAGAACCTTTCGACAAACTTTCACTTTGACTAACGGCTATTCCACCAACTCACCTACCAGGAAACATAAATTGGACTCCGTCGTGGTTTCTCGTATTATATCAGGGGTTGTCTGGATAGTTGACAGTGTACCGGCAAGAAATCGAAGCTGGAGCATGGATTGCGTGCATTTCCTACTCATTGGAGGTTGAAGTGGTAGGAATACTTTGAAGGAAATGAAGATGGTGTCAGAATCGGAGCGGCCAAGCAGTGAAGCTGCATGTTGCTAAGTAGTAGATGATTTATAAAAAATGAAATAGAGTACCAACTCAAAGTAGCGCACATATATTAAGTGTTTATCATGTTAGTAAGAACTTCTATGAGTGCCAGAAAACAATGTCAGACATTCCTGACTTTATGAAAACATCGTAATACCTAATAATAGCATGTTTCTCTTCCATCCCCCCATCCCTAGAATTCATATTCACCCCACAGCGAAGCCCATATACGCCCATCTTGGTCCTGGGACCGATTTACTAGAACCCATTGAATTGGCTTAATATCAAGCTCACCTTCGAATATTCTAAAGGAGAAGATGAACTTCCAAAACGGGTTGGAACAAATCGAGTCATCCTGATGCAACACCGGCTCGACCGAGAAATAAATGCTAAGCTCCGTCTCGGGAATCTTTTTTGTAGCCACCCGAAACCTGGGGATGCCGGCTTTGTTTATCTCGTAAAGTAGTTGGCTCCGACTATGATCCCCCGAGTTCAATTGTGCTTGCAATTCGTTCACCGCGTGCTTGTAATCGCCATAATCGACGAAGGAGTATTGAAGCGAGTCGAGATCTGACGAAGCCCAACCCACCACGTAGAACATGTAGTCTACATCAAACCTAACTGTACGCCCGTTACTCAGTGTTTCTGGGGTGCCTCTTAAGCGGATAGCCCCACTATCGTATCTCGTTTCGGCAGAGACAAGGAACATATTATCTTCCTCGTCATAGCGGCTCCATGGCCAGACATCAAAGAGCTCAAGTTCAGGGGGGAGCTGGATTTGTAAAGCATGCGTCCTCATTCTTGCAAACGATCGACTGGAACACATTCCATGTAACTCATTCTGCAAGTCGGATTCTGGAAGCTCGATTAACACGTGTCTTGCCCTTGGTGAGTTTGGCTCCAAAGCTCTCTTATACTCGAATAGAGTCCATGGATCCTCTCTAACGAATATATCGGGCCCACATTTGCGTAGTCTTACGCCGAGAGATGTGTTGGAATCCGGAACACAATCGAGCGGCAGCACACACATATAGGATCCCCTCTTGTGAGGATCTGGATACGAAAGGATGTGAATTTTTGTCCTAATCCCGATATTCGAAACAGAGAATTCTCGGTACATTCGATATGGAAGTTTTGATAATGCCGTACATCCGGCGAAGAAATCGGGAGACGCGGCGAGAATACCGCAATACACGCGTTCTTTGTCTCTCGCCACTTTGGGCGGTGGTATGCACCAAGCAAATATGCTTAGATCTGCAGTTCTTCCGATGATTTCATATTGCAATCTTTGGAATGCTTTCTCTTCTTCGCCGTATAGTAAAGGCATATTTACGTTGAAGATTCCCAGTAGGCAGTAGGCTTGGTCTTCGACCCTGGTGGTTTTCCTACCAGCAGCCCAAGACATTTTCTGAGCAACCGTCACAGTTGATAGGGGTTGATCATGCCCCAAAATGTATTTACTGATCTTGGTGATTTGTGAGAGCTCTTCGAGAAAATCTGATTTGGCGCCTCTCTTATTCCAGTTTCGATCGAAAAAGTAAACCCTCTTTGGCGCAATCAATTCTTGTAGTGTCCATCCACGGGTAAACCAGCGACTATGTTGCAAGGACGCAGTCAAAGGTAGGTGTGATGGAAGATCTGAAAGGTAAGCATAGCAAACCTCGGAGCGCTCGTACCACCGATACATCGAGTTAATGGCTTCGGTCAGTTCAGCGCTGCTGGACTTGTCTATGCAGCAAGTATCAATCCAGACGTAGCGTAGCCCAGCTTCATCCGCAAGCTTCATGGCCATTTTTATCTTCTTGTATCCTTCCTTCGTTTTGAAACGTGGACTGCCCATGTCGCTGAACAACACCTCCTCGTCTTCCCACATATGGGAGAGAATCGCATATTTGTAAGTGAGTGGGTTGAGAACCTCCTCCAATATCCCGGTTTTGACATTCAGGAGCCTCATAGTCAACGAGAAACACCATAACATTTAAGTACTACTACTTGCCACAGGCTTTGTAGAGTAAGATACTTATGATCTGGGAAATTCCAAGAGATGAGAGAAAAATGAGTGGTTCAGCTCAAAGTGGTGTAGAAGTCCTAGAATGGGGAACCTCGAAATCCCGAATAGGTGAAGCTTGGTCAGGCACTGTGAGTGGCTAGTTGCAATGCAGCCCAACCCGATCTCTCGGGGTAACTACTCTTCCGAGAAGTTAATCATCGTTGCGCAACCTCTCTCGGTATGT